CTCTCTGCATTWACAGAAAATCCTTTGGGATTAAGTCAATCCCAGGTTTGAGCTTTGGCAAAAAGGTGTAAAGATAATACAACATAATACAAAATCCAGCCACTATTTGTAGAGCTTCTGGCCTGGCAGAGCATAAAYGGCTACAATTTGAATTTTCTACGTGTCATGCCAGAAATTGGGTGCARTTGTGAGAACAGAGGTGATGCCAAATTGAACAATTTTCTTGGCTGACTCTGTTCATATCTCAATGCTTACCTGTGTCTAATCCCAGTGGTTCTACTATTTACCCACCTTGGAATCATGATGGTAAATTGACTTTTTTGGTTATGATAGGACGGGTTACCCAATATCTGCCTGTTTTTTCTTAATATAATCAGATGATGCACATTTATTTCAAAACAAAATTCCAAACAGTGAAACAGATGCATTTTTAAATTTCTGTCTAATAGCCTGATATCTGAATGATGCAGACTTGACCATCTCTTAATGATTTTTCAGTGCTGATATTTTTTAAATCAGTCTCAGCAGCCACAGAAGGATGCTAAAAGCTGGGAATATTTTAGCACACATAATGACTGGATTGATGCAGTCTGATTGCTCTTGTTTTTTATGAGGTGCTGCTCACAGTTCACAAGATTCTGTGAGGGATTCTCATCACTGTTCTGCCCCCAAACATTCTGTCAGTGCTGCTCAGTGCATGCCAGCTGATAATGTTTCAGGTGCACAGCAGGTGAGAGGGTTGTGATGATATTTGTATAATAACAGTAAGTTCACTAACCAAAGGTAGGCACAGCCACTTCTTCCCACAAAAACCAGCTGGTTGTATTCCTCTGTGMTTCCTCTGCTTGGAACTTAGTAGTGTCTGGGAAGAAATTCTTAATATTTCACTGAAAWGTCAGAAGGAGAAAAAGTGATCTTGGTATTAAATGCATCAGCTGCTGGTGCAAGCGCATTGGTCATTCATAATAAACAGTATAAAGCAAACAAAAGGAAATATGAAAATGCAGCAGAGATGGGATGGAAGTTGCACACTGAATTATTTCTCAGCTTTTTGTGACTCTGGACACAGCTGYAGCATCAGTTCTCTCMTGGCTGGGGCTGGGTGTGCAGGGTSACTCAGGTAAGGCTCAGCTATTGCAGGCTGTTTTTSGCTTTAGCTGGGAGCCTCTGGCTGAACATTCCAGTAACTCTGAGSACTGGGCTGTGGATTTTGAATGCCCTGCCTTTGATAACACAGGAGAACTGGAACAGGAGGAATGTGGATCTGACTGAACATTTCCAACTTGGCCAACATTACGTGCTAAGGACCCCTGATTTATTAAATATTGAAGTCTTCAGAACTTTTAGTCTCGTTGCTCARCTTTTACTGATGCTCACCTTTTGATCTTTCGCTACCTTTTGGAATTAATTTCCCTGGTTTATCTTCCTTTATGGAAAGCTATTGGTGTTGAGGGCCATAAACCAGGTCATTTTTTGTTCCTCTGACCCAAAACTGACCCCAAACTCTAATCAGAGCAGTCAAAAGCAATGCTGCATGTTCAGACTGGTGTATTAACCTAAGGAATAACATTCACTTCTGTGTGTTGCTAGAAGGGCTGCCTTGTACTCACCTGAGCCCAGTGTGAGGAAAGCCCACACTGCTGGATGTTTGGCTGTGCTGCTGCTCCCTGGATCAGGTTCAGTATTAATGCTCTTTAATCCCATTCCATGCCCAGRTTCCCTTGGACAGCGCTGTCCTGTGTGGTGTCACCTCGGCAGAACCAAAAGCCACCGAGCTGTCCTGAACAATCACAGCCCAGAGGGACCTGGCTGCACCCCTTATGTGGGGAGAAACCARCATGGTCCAAGCCCTGCTGGCACCCTGGGGACACGGGAACGCCTGTCACACGGGGATGCAAATGTCCCCTAATCGCAGCACCGTGGAAATGCCCACCTTCCCACAGCGCTCGGCACGGGCAGCTCACAAAATCATTTCTTTTTTTCCATGTGAATAACTCTGTGTGCCTTCAGCATGCCACTGAGTTGTTTTGCATAAGAAAATGAGCTCCTATTTTCCACCCAAGCAAACTATACCCTTCAGGTGAAATGTTTTGATTTCAAGAACAATCTGTCAAAATATTTTACACCGCTCTGGGTTCCTCRTATACAGCATTTCCAAGTGCTATACAGACACAAACTTACATTGGGAAAGCTGGAAACAATTCCCCAGAAAATGTGCAATCAGGAAAAACTGGAATAGGACTAGCTGCAGAAAGCTGAGAATAAACCAGGGAGTTGTGAAGAAAGAGTGTCTTAATTATGAGCAAATTTTATGGTGAATAAATGAGAGTTCAGAGTGTCCTTTTATTAGGTTTCAGCCTTATCTTCTGTCCTGTTTGGAAACTCTCAAATGGCTGCTGCAGGATTGCGTTTCTTTCTGGTTAATTTTAGTTACATTTCAGGGAGCAGGCAATGGTAGAGAGAGGCTGAATTGTAAATCTTGGAGTCGGGATAATTTCCTGTAAAGCGTAAGGGGGAATTGGGAGGAGGTTACGCAAACAGACTCCATTTAGGAAAGCAGAGAGAAAAGCTTTGGTATAAAACCAGAGGGAGCTTTCATGAGACCGGCCCTAAGTGATCAGAGCACAACAAGTGCAGGATAACAACACATTAGCAAGGAAAAATAGTAAAAATGGAAGCAAGCTTGGGTGGTAGAGAGAGGAAATGCGTTTTTATCTTTGGCACAGRGCCACCCAGGAGCTTGAGGCATTTGATTGAAGCATTTGACTAAAATGCAAAGAACAGAGTGGGATCTGGGATAGGCAGCTGAGCAAGGCGTAAGTTCATGAGCATATGAATCACTGATGAGAGGAAGATGATTTTCTGCAATTTTTTTCTCAGCTGAGGTCTTTTGGCAGCATGTGTGGAAAGGAGAGGGAGCTGCATTCAAAGCAGGAGCTAATTAAGGCAGGCTGAGCAGCTGGGGACAAAAGGAGAGGAAAATGATCTCTTGTTCGTGAATCWCTTAAAAGTTGTAGCATGTAAAGGCATGTAAGAGCCGTGTTGCTGATTGCCTCCTTCACTGGCAGGTGGAAATCTGTCTTGTTCTTTGAGATTCTTTATCTTAGATTTCATTCCTCTTCAAAATTCAAATTCAATTACTCAGTTCAAAAATCAGTTGTCTTTTGCTCAATAACAAATCAATAACAAATCCACAGCCCCAAAGAAATTATGTGGCCATGTGTCTTTCCATCCCTCAAGTGAAAGAAGAACAGCAGATCRTAATTCAGCCAATTTAAAACCTCTAATGAGACTGAAATAGTGAAACAGGAGCCAAGTCTTTGTGCCACACAAGTCAGCAGATTGTTTCCCTCACACTTCGTGTCCTGAGACTGCACCTACGTAAGGAGTGCAGTGTTTGTGTAGGGGGAATTAYTGTGTTGACAGCAGGAATATTTTGGGAGCTCTTCCTGAATGCTGAATGGCACTTATGGACACGAGAAGCTGCTACATAAACTAATCCCCAATAAAAATACCCGCCCAATAGGCTTTGTGTGTGTATTATTTGCATTAGGGCAGCTCAACAAGAGGATTTGCATAACTGTGGCACTGATCCTGCCAAAACTAGAGAAGCCTGTGTTCTCTGGTACTACCCAAAGGTTTGTGCTGTAAATAGATCTGTGCAGGGCCAGCCCTGAACCTAATCAATCCTGGAACAGCATCACAGACTTGTACTAAACCCATGCCCAGTTCACCTTCCAGGACAGCACTAAATAGCAGAGTGCTCATTTTCTCTCACTAAAAGCAGCCTCTTCTAGAAAAAAAAACCCATTGCCAGATAATTATGTCATTTTGGTTTATCTTTGTGTCCTTTGCCTTCCTTTCCCTGAGTTTATCTTGACTTTCTTTTTACAGTAGTTCCCATGGCATTAGTCTGCTGTAAATTCAGCTYGGGTCCATAATTATCTTTGGAAAACACACATGCATAAATAGCTACCAGGAATATCTTATTTGTTTGTTTTCATTGCAGAACTCACAAGAGGGACCAGTTCTGTCAGTACCACAGACGGATGGGTTTGAGGAAGGCCTCCCTGGAGATAAGCAAAATTTTCCATGTGTCTGTGGAATGAAATAAAGGGCGCCTGCTGACTTCTATTTATCATTGCAGACCCTTCTGACTAAAAGCTGAGTTTCTGCTAGCAAGGAAAAGCCTTACTCAGGGTGCTATATTTGTCATTGGGTTGGATTTTGGAACAGTCATAAATATATGTATTTTTTTCATTCCTTTCCTCCGTGGCAATCCATCCAAAATTTGGATTTTTAGCTGATATGGAGAAACACAGTCACACCAGGGTAGAATCTAGCTGGAAATGTGTAGGTCTCATGTCTGAGTGGCAACAAACCCACTGTGAATTCTGATTTYAACATCAGTGGGACTCTTCTCAAATCGATTCCCTTTCTCCCCAAAGATCCCAATACATGACACAGGAACATGCCCATTTTAAATATATTGTTGGTGACATTAGAGATTCCCTCATCCCAGAATCATCAAGGTTGGAAGAGACTTTCAAGACCCAGCCTGACCATTAACCTACCCCCCACCACAATCACCCCTAAACCAACCCCCAAGCACCACAGCCAGGTCTCTGGGACACTTCCAGAGATGGAGACACTTCCACCACCTCCCTGGCACTCATCCCAGTGCCTGACCACTTTTTCCCTGAAAAAAAATCCCTGTACCCAGGTTCTGACTGCTTGCTGACAGAAAGAGTGCWTGCTTGATGYTTTGAKGYCAGAGAAYTTGATGGAATTTTGAWGGARTAACCCAGCAAGGATCTGGAGATGSTTCCCAGGTCTTTGTGGCTCGGCAGCATTTCCTGATGAGTCTGGATCTCTGCACAGTAACAATTTGATTAAAATAGCAGTGATTACAGCTAGGATTGAACTTCAGGTGAAGTCTTCACACCTTACTCATCAATGTGCTAATGATAAACCAGATMTTGACAACTCTTTAAGCACACCAGATTTATTGGAATTTAGTAAAGCAGGTCCAGCAGTTCATGTACACCMCAAATTAGCAGTGAACATGAAGTCCCATCCTCAGGAACTGCACCTCTCCTCCTTCACCACTCACAGAAAGGGGAAGGAAAGGGAGAAAGCTTAAATTCCATGCAAAACAACCGAATTTACAAGTCATAGTTACAAATAAATCCTRCAGTCCCTTGCTAAACTGAACCAGTGTTCAAGGCTTGAAGAACTGCACCAAGCTTCAAGGTGTGTCTCATCAACTCTGAAAGAAAAGGGCAGAATAACTGTGTGTGCTGCTATAAAAAAATGTGTCCGACTTTGATAGTGAAGAAATAAAAAGGGAGATTGCTCCTTCCTCTCCTCTAACCTATAGAGAGTTTGTTAATGACCAGTAGAAATGMAAGTTACTCTACCTGAATCCAAGAGTTGTTAATTTTCAGATACATTTTCAAAATAAAAGGCAGAAAAAAACCTTTAGAACAAAGTTTAGTAACAAAGTTGGTATTCCACAGCTATTTATAAATAAAAGCAGAAATATTTTATATATATACACATAGACATGACCTGGTATTTAAGGATACACATTGTGTTAAAATAGCATTCTTGGTCTTTTTTTGTTGCTCATTTAGTTGCAAAAATTAAAATACAATTATTTGATGCCATAGCTAATTTATACAGCATAACTTAAAATCAGAGAACAGACTAGCATAAGAAAAATGTACCCCAAAAATATTAAACAGGTATTTTTATGTTSCTCTTAAAATAGGTAATGGCTACATTTTAATTATACATTTAATTATGCAGTGTCTTTGGTAAAGATTCATGTAACTTTGCATTATATCTAAGGATGTTCCTGTGTGTTTTACGATATGAGAAAATACCACAAATTGCCTTTGCTTAGTGTAGGGAATATTGCAGAAACATAAATATGTGCAAAGACTGGATACAGAGAATCTAACTATGATGAAATTCTAGCCTAAGTGATACATGCCCAGGATACATGTTGGATAACACCAAATAGCATTTTGTGAGATATTTTCATGCAGGAAATTCAAGTTTTCCCCCCAAATCTGATCACAGCTTTTGCCTGAGTTTAAAAGAAAATGAATAAATAAAAATGATTAAATGGATCTGTCTTGCCATGATCTGACTTGCCAATATGGTATCTACTTTTCTATAAAAATGAGATTCTGTTACAGAACTCTGACCTGATTTAAATGCATTTAACTTGGCTTTCCCACTCGTTTACACTCGTTAAGGATTTGGGTTTTAAAGCAGGCGCTGGGGTGGATGGGKGCTGAGCTTTGCTGTTACCACATGCTGAAATCTGGCCTCACCCCCTGGAAATCTCTGACAGTGAAGGAGCGTGACCTCCTGCGCAGGGTGGGGCGGGCAGGGCTCCTGCCCTTCAGCAGGCTCAGGTAGGGCTCGGATCTCAGGAAGCGAGGGTAGCTGTCCTGCTCCATCAGCCTGTACACCGTGCTCTG